GTGACAAATCCCTCCACACCAGCCCAGGGGGCAGGCATGGGGCTGCTCTGCCATCTCTGCAGGCTGCAGACACCAAGGTGGCATCGGGATGCCAAACCCTGCCTGGATCCTCCTGCTGTGGTGGCCACCAGCTCCCAGAGGGTTCAGCAAAGTGGCCAGAGCTGATTTGTCACCTCTGCTCCAGTGTCCCTTCCAGCTGGGTCCCAGGCAGAGCTCTCAGATGTGTCCCCCCATGAAGTGGGTGGATTTGATTCTGTTTAATAATTGATTTAATTCTGTTTATTTTAATTAATTATTTTAAATGCAGTTTGGATTTGGTTCTGTTTAATAATTGATTTAATTCTGTTTATTTTAGTTAATTAATTTAAATACAGTTTGGATTTGGTTCTGTTTAATAATTCATTTAATTCTGGTTAATTAATTTAATTAATTGAAGTCTGGTTTGGATTTGGTTCTCTTTAATGATTAATTTAATCATAAAAGAGAACCAAATTCAAACCAAAATTCAATTAATTAATTTAATTAATTAAACATAATTTAATCATTAAAGAGAACCAAATCCAAACCAGAATTCAATTAATTAATTAAATTAATTAAACTGAATTTAATTGGTTTGGATTTGGTTCTGTTTAATAATTAATTTAATTATTTTAAATTTATTTAATGAATTAATTTAATTAATTTAATTTGGTTTGGATTTAGTTCTGTTTAATAATTTAATTTATTTAATAAATTTAATTAATTAATTAAAGTCTGATTTGGATTTGGTTCTGTTTAATAATTAATTTAATTCTGTTTAATTAAATTAATTTATTTTATTTCAATTTATTTATTTTATTTAATTTATTTAACAAAAAGAGCAGTTTCCTGCCGGCCCCTGCTCCAGGCAGAGGAGGAGGAAGGGTGACAGGCTGGCATTATTTGGCACAGCTGGAGCCTGGCACTGGGCACAGCTGTGCCCCATCCAGGGCACCTCCAGGAGGCCTCTCTGGTGAGCAGGGACGAGAGCAGCACCCAACTGAAATCCAGCAGGTTTTCATGGAATCACACCGAGGTTATTGCTGGAAGGAGCCTCTGGAGGGCACCTGGTGCCCATCTCTGCTCCAGGACTGTGCCCAGACAGAGTTTTAGCATCAGCAAGGGTGGAAAGCACACATCCCCCCTGGGCAACCTGTGCCAGTCAAAAACATTGAGGTTGGAAAAGCCCCCTGAGATCACCCAGCACTGCCAAGGCCACCAGTGAGCCTTGTCCCCAAGTGCCACATGCACAGGGCTTTGAAACCTCACCTCTGTCAGGCCTGAAGAACCCTCTGTGGGAAGAAATTTTTTCTTATTTTCAAAAAATTGTTTTTTTCTTGGGTTTCGATTGTTTTTGCGGTTGTTGCCTTTGGGTTTGGGCCTTGTTGGTTTTCCCCTTCCCTCCAGGTGAGGTGAGGAGGTGCCTCTGAGCCTTCTCTTCCCCACACAACCCCAGCTCTCCCAGACATTCCTCGTGGGTGAGGAACTCCAGTTTTTCTCTCATTTTTTATCAAACTGTCCTCTGTGTGTCTGTGCTGAAATGGGGCCCAGAACACAGCACAGCCCTGCAGGTTGGGCAACCTGAATCTGGGAATCCCTCACTGATTTTGGGAGTCTCTCATGGAATTTGGATGTGATCCCTCACTGAATTTGGGAGTGATCCCTTGTTGAACTTGGGAGTCATCCCCTCACTGAATTTGGGAATGATCCCTCCCTGGCTTTGGGAATTATCCCTCACTGAATTTGAGAGTGAACTCTCACTGAACTTGGGAGTGATCCCCCACTGAACATGGGAGTCCCTCATTGAATTTAGGAGTGATCCCTCACTGAATTTAGGAATGATCCCTCATTGAATTTGGGAGTGACCCCTCACTGAATTTGGGAATGACTCCTCACTGAATGTGGGAGCGATCCCTCCCTGAATTTGGGGATCATCCCCCCCAACTTTAGGAGTGATCCCCTCCTGACTTTGGGGTGATCCCCCACTGAATTTGAGAGGGGTGCCTCCCTGAGTTTGGGAATGATCCCACACTGAACTTGGGCATGATCCTTCACTGAATTTGGGAATCATCCCTCCCTGAATGTGGGAATCCCTCCCTGGCTTTGGGAGTGATCCCTCCCTGAATGTGGGAATCCCTCCCTGATTTTGGGAGTGATCCCTCCCTCATTTTGGGAGTCCCTCACTGAACCTGGGAGTGATCCCTCCCTTCTCCTGCAGCCCAGGCTCCATCCCCACCCTTCCCAAGGGCACCCTGAGGCTCAGTGGCCACCCTAGTGCCCAGCAGGAGCCCAGCCTAGTCCCTGTCCCAGCTGGGTGACTCTCAGAGTGTGCCTGGGTTCCTCCCCAGGGCTCCCAAACACCAAATTCTGCCTCCTCAGGCCATGGCTGGAGCTCCCACAGCCATTCCCAGCCCCAGAAATGGACAGAGCAGAGGCCTCAAGGCTCATCCTGGCCCATGTGAGCTCAGAACATGATAACAACCCCTCTGATAAGGAAGGAATTCTCTTCTGAGCAAGGAATACCCATGGCTGCTGTGCCCATCACTGCTGGAGATGACCAGGCCGGTGGCCCAGAGCCTGATGCCAGCTCCCAAAGGGTGGGCACAGCTTGAGCAGCTCCTTCCTACCTGTGCCAGCGAGTTTGGGGGAAATAGGAGCAGCACAGGGAGTGCAGAGGTTGTCAGGGCTTTATTGGTGACAGGGACAGCACCAAGGGACACCAGTGACACCAGAGCTCACCCCAGGAGGGTCTGGGTGTGTCCCACGCTGGCCAGGTCACCCCGGGAGCTGCTGGGGGGCTCCATCCCCATCTCCAGGTGCTCCAGGATGGGCTGACAGGGCCATGCTGTCACTGCCCTGAGGCTGCAGTGCTCCCACCATCCTCCTCTTCCTCCTGGTCTGGTGGCAGCTCTGAGGGGTTGGCACCTGGTTGGGGCAGAGCTCTGGAGGGCTGGTCCTCCTCTAGGCCTGCAGGAGATGGGCAGAAAGGGAATGGTGAGGTGCAGGAGACACCCATGGGGGTCACACAGAGCAGGATGAGCCCATCCAGGGCTGCATCAGAGACCCTCCCGGAGGGATGGGGATGGAGAGAACCTCAGGCCCTGGAGCAGGAATGCCACAGTGGGGCCATGCCTGGGTGTTTAGGGACAAAAAGAGGAGGAGGCTGCCCAGGAGCACAAGGTGGAGATGGCAAAGCAGAGAGAATGGGCTGGGGGTGCCTCAGGGGCCATCACCTTCCTCAACCTGAGCCTCTGATGCCTTCCCCTCCAGGCTCTGGGACAGCAGGGTCAGCCTCTTGAGCGCCAGCAGGGCTTTCCCTGTTTTCTGGAGGAAGGAGAATGGGCACTGAACCTTCATTAGAGCCACCCCCATGTCCCCATCACCCCACCAGGGACACCGAGCCCTTCAGCAGAGCCACATCCTGTCCCCATCCACCTACCAGGAACACTGAACCCTTGGGCAGAGCCATCCCCATGTCCCCATCACCCCACCAAGGGCTCTGAGCTCTCTTCATGTCCCCATCACCCCACCAGGAGCACTGAGCTCTTCAGCAGAGCCATGCCCATGTCCCCACCAAGGGCACTGAGCCATCCCTATGTCCCCATCACCTCACCAGGGGCACTGAAACCTTCAGCAGAGCCATCCCCATGTCCCCATCACCCCACCAGGGGCACTGAAACCTTCTGCAGAGCCACCTCCATGTCCCCATCACCCCACCAGGGCTCTGAGCTCTTCAGAGCCACCCCCTGTTCCCATGTCCCCACCATGGGCACTGAGCCACCCCCATGTCCCCACCAAGGGCTCTGAGCTCTTCAGAGCCACCCCTCTGTTCCCATGTCCCACCAGGGACACTGAGCCCTTGGGCAGAGCCACCCCCATGTCCCCATGTCCTCACCAAGGGCACTGAGCCCTCCAGCAGAGCCACCCCCCTGTCCCCACGTCCCCAGCAGGTACCTGCCACTTCCTCCGTGCCAGGAACTGCCTGATCCTCTCCTTGGACAGCACCTTGGGGCTGCTGGGCTGGGGCTGCTGCAGCCAGGGGTGCAGCAGAGCCCCTGCACTGGGGAGCCGCCGGCTGCAGCACACACAGGGGGTCACGGGGGGCTCCTCCACCCTGGAGCATCCCCCCCACCAAACCGGCAGAGCTTCCCCTCACCCACCCCCTCAGCACCCCAAAACCCAGCCCAGCCCCAGCTGAGCAGCCCCCAGGCCCTACCTGGGCTCCTTCTGCAGCAGTTGGCTGATGAAGTCCTTGGCTTGCTGGGAGATCTCCAAGAAGCTCTCCTCCTCAAAGTCCCACCGGGCAGCTGTGACATTGCTCAGGGTCTCCATGTCCGTGTCCCCCTGGAAGGGTGACTCCCCACTCAGCCTGGAGAGGGGAGCCCAGGCCGTCAGTGAGAGCTCAGCCCCCTGCACCCAGCCTGCCCTGCCCAGGAGGGCACTCACAGGATGTAGCAGATGACACCAACGCTCCACATGTCCGTGGACAAGCTCACAGGCTCGAAGGCGACCACTTCTGGAGCCATGAACTCTGGGGTGCCGTGGAGAACCTTCACAGGGGTGTCTGGAGCTGCAGAGAGGAGGCAGGAGATCAGTTGGGATCTCCTGGAGCAGGAGGCCAGTTGGGATCTCCACGGCCCAAGGAGGCCCAGCTGGGATCACCATAGGGCACACGAGGCCTAGCTAGGATCTCCATGGGGCAGGAGGCCAGCTGGGATCTCCATGGGCCAGAATGCCCAGTTGGGATGGTCCTGGGGAGTTGGGATCTCCCTAGGGCAGGAAGCCAGCTGGGATCTCAATGGACAGGAGGCCCAGTTGGGTTCTCCATGGGATCTCCCTGGGCCAAGGAGGCCCAGGCTGGGACCCCCATGGGCCAAGGAGGCCCAGGCTGGGACCCCCAGGGGAAGTTGGGCTCTCCATGGGCCACAAGGCCCTGCTGGGCTCTCCATGGGATCTCTGTGGGGCCAGTTGGGATCTCCACAGGCCACGAGGCCCAGCTGGGATCTCCTGGGGAGTTGGGATCTCCCTGGGCCAGCTGGGATCTCCTGGGGAACTTAATCCTCTTGCCTTTTACTATCTTTTTACTCTCTCACCCTCTCATCCTCTTTCCCCCTCTCTTCTCTCAGCCTGCTCTGAGCTGTGGCTGCAGCTCCCAGCAGGGCCCTGCACCCAGGCCCTCTGCAATAAACCCCAAGTTCCACAACCTGGCTGCAGAGATCTCTCATCTCCCTCCACCCCGACCATCCTACCCCCAAAACTCTCTGATTTTATGGGTTCCCACACTCACCCAGCTTCCGTGCCAGCCCGAAGTCAATGATCTTGACGCAGTGGCTGCCAGGGCTGACGCAGACGATGTTCTCGGGTTTGAGGTCCAGGTGCACGATGGCCTGGCCGTGCATGAACTGCAGCCCCTCCAGGATCTGCTGCATGTACTGGGCACTGCTGGGCTCCGTGTGCTCGAAGTCATCGTCCACAATGCGCTCAAAGAGCTCCCCACCTGCCACGCTGGGGACAGACAGGTGATGGGGACACTTTTGGGATCTACCAGCCCCAAGGAGGGGAGGCCCCAGCAGAGAACCCAGGCTCAGCGCTCTGGGAGCATCTCTCCACCTTTATCTCCAGGAGCTTTGGGTTCCCATCTGTCCCACAAAAGCATCCCATGGCACAGGGACCCCTCACCACCTGCCACTGTGGGGACACCCAGGTGCTGGGGACCCCTTTGGGATCTACCAGCTCCAAGGAGAGGAAGTCCCAGCAGAGAGCCCAGTGCTCTGGGAGCATCTCTCCACCCTTATCTCCAGGAGTTTTGGGTTCCCCATCCATCCCACCAGCACCTCATGGCACAGGGACCCCTTCCCACCTACCACTGCGGGGACAATGTGGTGCTGGGGACTCCTTTGGGATCCACCAGCCCCAAAGAGGGGAAGCCCCAGTGGAGAACTCATCTCTCCACCTTTATCTCCAGGAGCTGTAGGTTCCCCATCCATCCCACCAGCACCCCATGGCACAGAGACCCCTCCCCACCTGCCACTGCGGGGACAACGTGGTGCTGGGGACCCTTTGGGACCCTCCATACTGGGGACTGTCCACACTGAGGGACAAGAAAATTCTGGGGACCTCTTTGGGATCTACCAGCTCCAAGGAGAGGAAGCCCAGTGGAGAACCCAGTGCTTTGGCAGGATCTCACCACTCCTAACCTCCAGAGTTGCCAGGTTCTCCACCCACCCATCCATCCATCCCACGGCACAGGGATCTCTCCCCACCTGTGGAGAAGCCTGGGGACCCCTTTGGGCTCTACCAGCTCCAAGGAGAAGCTCAGCAGAGAACTCAGCGCTCTGGGACAACCTCACCACTCGTAACTCCAGAGTTTCCAGGTTCTCCATCCATCCATCGGCACAGGGACCTCTCCATCCACCCATCCATCCATCCCACGGTGCAGGGACCCCTCCCCACCTTCAGAGCCCCCCTGGCAGCCCCCAGCAATGCCCCTCACTCACTACTCCATGACCATCACCAGCTGGGTGGGCTCCTGGAAGGCCTCCAGGCACTGCACGAGGCGCGGGTGGTGCAGGAGGTTCATCAGCTCCACCTCGGCGCGCGCCGCCTGCCTCTCCTTGGCCGTGCGCGCTCGGAAATATTTCCCAGCCCGGATCCTGCCCGTGGCCTTCTCCTGCAGCCTGTACACCATCCCAAACTTCCCCCTGGGACAGAGGAAGGGGAGGAGGAAGGATGGAGGAGCCACCAGCAGCACCAGGGCCGTGCATGGACAGCCAGGGCAATGCCCAGGGTGGGACACAGGAGCTTCACTCACTCCCCAAGCTTCTCCAGCTGTGTGTAGACATCTGAAACCTTGTCCTGGCTGTTGATGACCACGTCACGGTGTTCAAAGGGCTCCTCAGCTCCTAGGGGATGGATTAAGGTGGGCCATGCAGGGATTCCCCCCTGTATGCCCCACCAGTGATAATTTCTGTGTCCCCCCTGCTCCATCTGGGACCAACCACCCTCTGCACCCAGTGTGGATGGCTCCTGGGGAGGACATGGGGACAGAAGCTGGGGCAGCCCAGCACCCTGTAAGTCAGGTTTGGGGTGAAAGGTGCTTTTAGGATCAAAACCCCAAGAGAAATGGGGCCAGGATGGGATGGACATTGGTGCTGATAGAGGGGGTGGACAGGGGTCACACCATTGCTGGGGTTCCCTGGGGCTCTGCTGTACCTTCTTCCTGGAACATGGTGGTGCCACTGGCTCCTCACAGGGTGCTGGCACAGTCAGGATGTGTCCCCCAGGCTGGGACAGGGGATGATCTCTGCTTCAGCTGCTCCCTGGGGTTCTGCACCTTCTCCCTGCCACAGGAGACCACCAGCATCACCCCAACATCACCCACACTCCCCATTCCACTGATGGACCCAAAAGAACCAAGCCAGATTTTAAGGCAAGGCCCCTTTTGGGATGGGAGACAGCCCTCCCCAGGCTCCAAGGCAATGTTTTTCCCATGCTCTGTCTTACAACAGGCAGGAAATCCCCAGGAAAGCCTCACTTGTAGGGCAAAGGAGCTGCTTCCTTAGATGCCCATCCCCAGAAGGGTTGGGGGGACAGAAAATGACACCTAAAGGTGTCAAGCAATGACACCCAAACCCCAGCCCGGGAGCCCCAGCACTGACCTGGCACTGTCCAGCCCCTCCTGCAGCTCGCTGCCCTTTCAGTCACTGCAGAGCCACAAAAGCTGGGGAGGGAAGGAAGGGGCAATGCTGGAGGTTGAGGAACCACAACTGGAACCACAAAAATGGGGATATCTTGGGGTCCAGTTGGGAGCAGCTCTCCCACTCCAGCGCTGGGAGCAGCCCTGGCTGTCCCCTCCCTTTCCTTCCCAGCACAGCGCTTCCGGACATGGGGGATAAACAACCCCCACCAGCCTGAGCTGTCCCCAGATGCTGTCCCCAATGTCCACTTTGGGTCCCAGGTCTGCAACACGGAGCTGTGGAACCCCAGGGGCTGCAGAGGCTGACCCACCTCAGCACACAGAAGAGACCCCCCAGCTTTACCCTCCCAGCCCCTGTGCAGGATTGGGGGCTCTCCCAGGTTAAATCCACAGCCCACCCTAGAGGATAAACAACCCCCATCACCTACAAGCTGTCCCCAAACCCTGTCCCCAATGTCCCATTTGAGTCCCAGGTCTGCAACACGGAGCTGTGGA